CATTGTACCTACAGTGGCATAATGTACACCTCTGCCTACACCTTCGGGGATAAATGGCGTTATGTTGTGTATGTATCCGGTTGCTTAAAAATCTTTCTTTTACGTATATATTTTTAAGACCCATTGACTATTATCCCATTTCAGGGTATAGTAAAAAGAGACGAATTTGTTTTCGAAATGTGCAAGGCGAGAAGCATTCCTATAGTAATGTTGACAAGTGGAGGATACTTGAGAAAAACTGCGAAAATCATAGCCGACTCCATCATGAACTTACATCGTAAAGGACTTATTCAGGGATAGGAAGGGAAAGGTGTCACGTGATCAACAACCAATCAGGATCGAGAATTATGACGCGATATTAAATATCTAAATTTTGTCATCGTTGTTCCTCGCTCCCTGTAAGGTAATTATAATAATTATGAATTTTATTATAACTTTGTTATTAATGTTCTATTAATTCAAATATTTAAAATATTTGGTGGTAGGGAAAGTATGATGCAAAAATTTTGTAAGTACCTACTCATAAAAGTATTGTATTTTGCTCTATGCTTTGTGACTTTCAACCTAGTTTACAACGCAATAAGAGTGAAAATAGTCAGCAAAACATTTCCAGAATAGGAGATAATAATATTAATCGACATTTCTCGTTACCTTACTTGTATAAAACAATGAGTTTTGATATTACTACATTACTGCACATCGAGCCAAAAGTGCTAGAATGCTTAAATGAATTTTCAACTTTATTGTAAAACGCTAAGGTTGACATTCTATTGAATAAATGTAGCGTAACTTTTACGCAAAGATTCTTTTGATCAAGAGATTATAAACTAGACTAGCGTCACGGAATCTCTCTCTCTTAATCCAGTATTTTGTGATTAATAGCAATAGAAGATTCTAGAATTAAATTTTACGAGTGATATTACAAAGACACATCTTAAAGTTGATCTCTTTGTGCCAATTAAATTATGATTTATTTATTAAGCAAATTAAATTTGCGATATTTAGTACTCTTAGTACATATTTTTAGTTTTGTAGTACGTAATTATAGTTTTATATTTATCTGTATATTAATCTTTAATAATGTGATTAACATATTTATTGTACAATAGTATAATGCTTGAAGATTATTTTTTTCAAATAAATACTATTTTTCTCGTAAATGTTTTATTTTTATTTAATTATTCCAAAGTGAAGCGGATGAAAGTCGTGGAATAAGTATTTTTTTATGGAGGATTTATATAATTACAAAATCTTATGAAAATAAAAATAAAGACACACAAGTGTCCTATAAACTTTCTCTTGGTATTACTATGCAGTATTCACTGGAGAGGTCGTAATAAAATCTGTTTATTAGTATTTTCTGAGCTTGTCGTTGTGGCGTCGATCAAAAGATATATAAAAAAGAAATAAAATAATAAAATAATAATAATACACATTTATTAATAATAATAATAATAATAATAATAATCTTTATTTCAGGTACAATAACATTAACCCATATAAATTTTACACAAGAAATAGGCACATAATAATAAATAGAAATAGTTTAATAAACAGCAGTATGCAGACTCATCCAATGCTGAGTTAATTTGGAGTCCCATCTGTCTGTGAGTACGTTCAGGATACTGTTGGGACTGGAACGTACACGCCCCCATAGCGAGGCGGATCTTTTTCTTAATACAGCGAAAAAACCGTCTGTGTGCGCTTCCGTAAACATTCCTGAGGCACTACAAAAACGCGGCAGACCCAGCAATACCCTGAACGCATTATTGTATTGGACACGCAAAGCACTGAGTGTCCGCCGCGTATAGTCGACCCACAGCGCGCACGTATACAGTGTCTGGCAATAAGCTTTAAAAAGCGTAACCTTGACCGAAACACTGCAACGCGCGAACCTGCGAGCCAACATATTGCACCGGACAGCCAGCGCCCTGCGCTCCCTCTCCATATCCTTATCGTCACTGAGATTATCCGAGACCCAATGACCCAGATACTTAAAGTCCGAAACTCGATTTAGTACACTACCCGCTAATTGTATAGGCACAGTTTCATAACTCTTTACTCCCGCTTTAAAAACCATGAGTTCGCTCTTTTTGGAGTTATATCTAAGTCCATGAGCCTCAGCATATGACTCACAAATATGCAACAGTTTTTGCAATGCCGCAATTGAGGGACTCAGCAGCACCATGTCATCTGCATAACTAATATTATTTATACAAACTCCATCTATGTGGCATCCGACTCCCGCGATACTAAGCTCCTCAATCAGGTCATTCACATACAAATTAAACAATCTAGGTGAAGTAAGCCCTCCCTGTCTTACACCACAGTCTAAGGAGAAAACTTCCGACTTTGAATCAGCCCATTTCACAATATTTGTCTGATTTTTATACCAATATTTGAATAATGAAATCACTTCAGGTTCACATGAGGTTTGACCCTCTAGTTTCTCCCACAGTTTGTCATATGAAACCAGGTCAAATGCCCTTGACAAGTCCAAAAAACAAGCATAGACTGGTGTCTTTTTACTGGTGTAGTATTGGACAGTCTGCTTAAGACACATGATAGCACTATCAGTGGATAAACCCGCTCTAAATCCAAACTGTAAATCATGCAGGTTGATATGCTTACTCAAGTGTTGGTCAAGCAGACTATCCAGTACTTTTGCCACAACTGTAGCCAGGGAAATAGGTCTGTAATTTGACACAGCAGAGGAATCCCCTGTTTTATTTTTAATAATTGGTGTGACAACTGTGTGCATTAGATTATTAGGTAAATAAGAATGGCCTAGGCACAGATTAAAAAACATTTTAAGGACCCTGGGTAAATGAGATCCAGCATATTTCAGGTGTTCTATACTTAAGCTGTCATAACCAGGAGATTTCCCCCGCACCATGTTTTTGATTACGTTCCTGACCTGGTTGTATGTGAATCTAACACCCGCTTTCTCCCCGCTACTACTATACGCTATCCGTGCAGATGAAACCGGCATTGGATCCACCTTGAAAGCATGGCGAAAAGCCTCTGCGATTCTCGAAGGCTCGTGAACGCCGGCAACACTCACCGGACAGCCTGCTTTCACATTTAAACTATTTGTCTTTTTCCAAAAATTTTTGAAATCTTTGTTGTTGTGAAGATTTGCAATAATATCCATTTTTATTTGTTGCTCATTGTTTTGACACCATTTTAACCTATTTTTGAAATTCTTTCTAGTTTCACACATATCATTATATAAAGAACCTGTAGTGGGTTTACGCCCTAATAACCACGCGCGATATGACTGCCTAGCCTCAACATGTGCATCGCGTACATATTTATTCCATCCAGGAATATTACGTGTTTTTTGTGTTTTCCTGACAGTATTATTATTGCTAACAATGGATGCTTTACTTAGAATAGAAATAATATCATTATACATGTTGTCTAGTATTTGGTAATGGTTTGGATCAGAACATAATCTGTCTGCGCAACCACTAAATTGATACGGAAAATTTATATGTTTTAATTCCAGGTTACAATATTCATTATATTTTTTAATTTGAGACAAATCCCTGACACCCCATACAACCCTACTATTATTACCAATACATGAAGTTACTTCTTTTGATTTTATAGCTACCAAATTACATTCCATAATTATAGGATAGTGATCCGACCAGTATACATCATATAGCACCGATACATTCACAACAGACTGTCTCGCTGCACTCGTCAAAGCAATATGATCAAGCCAGCGCCTGGAACCATGCGCATCACTCACAAACGTGTACGTATCGGAAGGCAAGAAGTCCAAATCAGCACATGACCAACATTGTTCGTTACAAAAGTTTATCAGTTCATTACAAAATAACTCACCTGGGTGAGCGTTGAAGTCTCCCAGCATGAACACAGACTCAACACTGTTATTCTCTATTATTGCGTTGATCTCACATAAACACTGAGTAAATTCTACTAAGTTATCAACGGAGTTAGTGGGCATATACACCGAGAACACTAGTATCGCGCGATTGTGCAACTCTAATTTCACCGCACATAAACGCACATTAGAACACTCAATCACTGTTGCCGTCGGAAATATCTCCTTTCTCCAGAGAATCGCCACACCACCATAGGGTCTGCCTCTCAAAATACCAGCTGATGTATCCACCGCCGACGTTCCCGTATATGCAAAATTTACGTCTAATTTTCTCAAGCAAGGAATATCATGTGGCAAAAGCCATGTCTCCTGCAACGCCACAATATCGGCTAGTTTACAAAGTCGCGCTATACATTGCTCCGATCTGTTCACTCCCTTACAATTAAAACTGCAAAGTTTGATTGTGTTTGTCATGTGGGTAAATTTGTTTAAACTTTCTTTTCGCGTTTGCGCCATTCAAAATTTATAAAACGACGAAAAGCTATCCCCACAGGCCAAAAATCCTTTTCCATGAAAACAAATAATTTACTTCCAGGGACAAATATTTTATATGAATCATATTCCTTGGCCAAAGTCATTTGCATCTTTTCAATTGACACTTCAACATTTGTTTTACTCGCAATATAATCTAATATGTCACACACGGTAACATCCTTCGCCACATTATAAATATATACAGGTATTTTTCTATCGGCCGCCTTAAAATTTGTATTAGGTGCAGTTTCGGCCTTCCCCCTTGTACCCACAAACTTGTTCTTTACTCTATTTCTTTGAACTTTTATCCATTCCTCATTTCGTTGATCTTGTTTCCATACTCCATTCCGCGCGATGTTAGCAAAACTTGTCCGTTTCGCTTGCGATTGTTGTTGTTCATTCGATCCGTCCGTGTGTCCTTGACTAAGCGACATGACAGGTACGGGAGGGCTGGGGACGGGCGCGCGCGGGAGAGGCGCACGCGCCGGTCTCGGCGAACATGCTAGATGCGTCGAACGCGAACTAGGGATTTTATGTTCACCCTCATTTTGTAAATCGATTTCTTTGTTACAAAAATTTTTCTCAGCGATTTTTGTATGTATTATCTGCGATACAGGGATTACATTCGTGTTTTTACTTTTATTTTCCTCTGTGAATGTCGTGTTATCCAAGTTGTTCACCTTGTTGCCGGTACTCGTGCCCGGAGACGCACACACCGTACTTTTTAACAAACCAACTTCAGACTTTATGGCTTGTAAATGTTCCACTGTCGCATACTCTTCCCTTATTTGATTTATGTCACTTTGCATCCTCAGTAAATCTTTCAGCAATCGGGTCACATCTACGTGGTCAAACAACACTGGGGGTAACTTTTGCAAGTCTCGAGCAACGAAGACAGGTATTTCCTCAGGATTTGTTTCTTTGAGGAGACAAATGATATCATCAATGTCGCGGAGCGTCTTGCCGTCTCGTTTCCTTGTCTTCTTGCGTTTTGCAGTGGCGACAGATTGAAATAATAAGTCTTTCGCACTTTTCACCTCAGTTTCCGAGAACGCACTAACACATATACGGTTAATGCTCTCCTCATCCATAACATCAATTTTGTTACATATGAAGGCGAGAACTTCATTAATAACCACATTGCAACTATTGCACTTTAACATGTTGGTAGCCATTTTATCGTAAATTCGCGAGAGAAGTGTCACACACACATGACCTCAAACGACACAAACGACCACCCGCCGCGCGCGCAGGGGCGACACTGAATAACAACCCTAGAAATGAATAAATAAACACCATTTTTGCAAAACAAGTTACAAGACATCCTAGTGCACACATTTAGCTTGACGCAGCAGTGCAAGGAACGCAGTGTCTTTATATTTCTAGCAAAAATGTGCTTCATACAAACATGTACGTTTGTTTAATAAGTGCAAAAGTGCTTTGGTGACCTCAGTTCACCCTGATAATGGCAAATTTTTGATCCCACAGACTTATACATAGCACTCCATAAAATAATTAAAAGATACGAATTATTGCGTTTGATTCTGGTCATTGTATAGTGTATTTTTCCAGTATCATTGTCTTAAATCTTATGGAGCAATAGTCTGAAGACAATAAGGAGATGGTTCGAAGAAATGATTTAATCTACCTGGTACACGATCAAAGTGACATGTCGATGAAGATGATGATGAATGAATCTATCAAGACTTTAATATCCATATTAAAATGCATCCAAAAACGTAATAATTTAGCCAAACCAATCGACTAGAAACTTGAACACAGTATGGTATACTCCATATGAGGGACCATTTTATCTGGTGGTAGTGTTGAACTGCGCGTAATATTCGTCTGTCGGTGTGTTGTTGTACACCACTTCCCTGAAGTACTTCTCTTTCTCTTTCTGCTGCAAGGCCATAAGTTGGTTCTCTTCCATCAGTTGACGAGCTATCTCTCTGTAGGTAAATTAAGTTCGTTAAGGCTTATAATTATCATTTTGGTTCTCAAGTGCAGTTGTTTCTATTTTAAAAAATTATTGAATGGTATTTTCAATTTTGGCTACAAGGCAAAACCATCAAAGAGGTCCGTTCTCTCTTTTTTGTCTCGTAAAGTAGGCAGAATCCACCAGTTACCTACTACGATCCTTACATACTTTTTTACTTTCCATTACTTCCATGCATCTGGTCATATAAGAATGCTGATTATTGCTTCAAATAACAACATAACATCACGCCTTTTATCCCCGAAGGGGTAGGCAGGCGTGAACATTACAGCACTTAATGCCACTGTACATACAATGTAACACCCACTTCTCATTATTTATGTTATGAGTCCCACGTAATAGGGGGTGAGCATTTCCAGACTATTGAGATTCTTTTTTTAAAACTTAATATTTTGGCCGACCTGGGAATCGAACCCAGGACCCGTTGCCCGGCAGTTGCACTTGCGACCACTCGGCCAACGAGGCAGCCAAATCAAATGAAACAAGAACTGTTTAAACATATTTACCGTCTCTTTCTCTTGTCGGCAATGTCCTGTCGTGCCACTTCGCGTTGTATAGACTTGGATAAGGCTTGCCATTCAGCTTCCATCTTATCTAACGCATCGCGCTTAGCCTGTTGAAAAACATATGAAAATAAGCAACTCAGTAAAAGAATCATTTTTTTTTTTATTTCTTTTTATATAATAGCATTGTATTAGTTTGTTTTATTGTTTATTATTGTTATTTCTATCGGTTTCTTCGTTATTATTATTATAAATTTTTTTTATTGTTTGTGTAACACACTATGTGTCTCAGTGTTTTTTTTTTTTTTCCTGCCACAGGCCCACAGGAAGAGATTCCAGTTGGAATATGTGGGGCCTATGTACTCTGTTTTTATATATGTGTTGTCCTCTGTGTTGAATGTGTGTACATAAATAAATAAATAAATCATTGATTCTGTTTGGTATTCTAATTGACTGCACGGTTGGTGCGGTGGCTGGGCAACTGGCTGCCGTGCAACGTGTCGCGGGTTCGATTCCCGCACGAGACAACACTTTGTGTGATCCACAAATTGTTGTTTCGGGTCTGGGTGTCATTGTGTACGTGAACTTGTATGTTTGTAAACGCATCCACGACACAGGAGAAAATCCTAGTGTGGGGCAAAGTTTCAAAAAAAAAAAAAAATATAGTCCATTAAAGTACCTTGGATGCAAAAAAAAAAAATTTCTGTGCAGCGTAGAACTTCTTCAACTCTTAAAAAAAAAAACCTTTGTACATGTAACCGATAGCCCTGAAAAAAAGGCACATTCCAAAAAAATGACATCATTGAAAAACTTATATGTGGGAGAGCCATGCTTCGGCACGAATGGGCTGACCGGAGTGATACCACGGCCTCACAGAAAACCGACGTGAAGCAACGCTTGCGTTGTGTTTCGTCGTATGAGTGAGGTTACCGGAGGCCCAATTACCCTCCCCTTCCCCAATCTCCCCAATCCCTGAATCCCCAACGATCCTCAAACTCCTAATCCCTAAAATGCCGGTAACGCACTTGTAATGCCTCTGGTGTTCCAGATGTCCATGGGCGACGCCGACTGCTCACCATCAGGTGATCCGTCTACTCGTTTATCGGTTTATACCATAAAAAAATCTTTATTCGACGGTCCACTACTGGGTTATGGGTCTCTTCTACACAAAGGAGGTATACCATAATCGCGCTTGGCAAATAACAGATCACAAAATAAAACAAATGTTAACATTTTTGAGAGAATGCTGCTGCTCTGTAGCAGTTCAATAATCCGATATTACAGTGCTACCGTCTCCACATGTCTATCCTCATTCAATATTTAACAAACCTGTTCTTCCCGAGGGCACTCTTGGCTACGTCAGGGTTCTCAGTGAGCATATCCGAAGTGAGATTGTTGTACATCTCCGCTGTATTGTCAGCTTCCTCCTGTTCCTTGAGGACCTGTTCCAGTTGCTTCTTCTCTGCAGCCTGGTCAATTAAATTTGTTTTAATACTTAGTGAATTTATTTATTGCCTCGTTGGCCGAGTGGTCGCAAGTACGACTGCCGCGCAAGGGGTCTCGATTTCCGGAACGGGCAAAGTAATACTGGGTTTTTAAAAAAAATCTCCAATAGTAGCACGGAGTCTGGAATTGTGCTCGGTATATGGCAATACACTCCAACACACCCCCTATTACATGGGACTCATAACATAAATAGCGAAAAGTGGGTGTTACATTGTGTGCACTGGTATTAAGTGCTGTAATGTGCACCTCTGCCTACTCCTTAGGGGATATAACACACATTAGCTTTCGCTTCACATATTACCTTTTGATAGCTTAGCTAGGTTGAGGAATGTAATTTCGTCTTCTGCATGTAAAAAACCTGTTTAGAAGTTCATTTATGTGTTTGTTTATGTACTTACCAAAGCCTCGTTGTATTTAAGGTTGGCTTGCCCAAGTCTGTAGCGGCACTCTCGTTCCAACTTATCCAGCTCACCGGCACGGTTGTCGCGAGCTTTTATGGCCATCTACAATTAAAAGAAAATTAACTGTATAACTGTAGTAGAATAATAACTGTGTGTTTACTCGCTGTATTTCACGGGTACTGCACATTTTTGTGGTATAAAAAATTTACTGTTTATTTTAATCGTCGCGGAGAACCTAACGGGTAACCGGGGCTCCGGCTCGACGTGCAGGAGAAGGAAAGGGGTGGTTTTTAGTCAGTAAGAGTCTAACACTCCTTCCCGCCTCACCCAGGCGGGAGCAGTCATTCGATGATTTTCCCCACTTAAAAAAAAAATACTCTCCCTCGGTAAGTCGGTACAGTATCAAAATTTATCTTATATCGTTCAGTAGTTTCTGCGTGAGAAAGTAACAAACTTCTGTCTGTCCACCCTCACAAACAACTCATTCTTAACTCGTCGAGTACCGTCATTATAGACACAATTAAAGAACAATAGGTTGCGGTCACCGGTGACCGCTCGGTGTTTGACTGTTTGCTTTAATATAGGGTACAATTAATTAATAAACCAACATACATTTGCCTGCACTGTTGGCACGGTGTTTCGGCAACTGGCTGCCACGCAACGTGTCGCGGGTACGATTCCCGCACGGAACAACTTTTTGTGTAATCCACAGATTGTTGTTCCGGGTATAGGTGTCGTGTGTATGTGAACTTGTATGTTTGTAAACGCACCCACGACACACGAGAAAACACTAGTGTGGGGCAAAGTTTAAAAAAAATACAAAAATGACTTGTTGAAAATGTAACATGATCCAAGTATACATACCTTATCTACCTACAATACACCGTAGTCCGTAGTACCTGTGTGGTAACTGATAATACTGTGACCACAACCACAATGCTCACATCCAGTTAATCAACGTTAATTTGCTAAACCACTAATTTGTTATGTTGTTTGTAAGGGCTTATGACAATTGGGTACTTACGATGTACTCGTGATATTAAAAACAATGTACTAGGCCCACAATCCAACAATATACATCGTCGAGTACTGCCTACATTGAGCCTGTTCTATAGGCTGATGATGATGGCGATTGCCAACTTTCCAATAGCTAATTAGAATGAAGGATTATTGATATTCAAACATTTGCATTCTGACATTCGTCTAGAAGACGTTCTAGCTACATACCATATAAGCGGCCTCAGCTTTCTTTCTTTCCTCTTCGGCTGCTTTCCTCTCTTGCACCTGTTGTTCAAGCCAGGAGTTCTTCTGTGCTGCCATGATCTTCTTACGCTCCTCAAATTCCAAGTCTTCCCCTTCGAACCTGTTATAAGGATGGACAAACATTCATGTAAACCTATTATTTATTTTGCTTGTTTAGAAAACCTATTTTTAAAGAAAGTCCTAGTAATAATCATAGAAATTCAGGAAATAACGAGTCCAATCAATGCCAATGGAGTAAACATACTTCTGTGCACTGGATAAGCCCACTGGCTGGCCATCATCAGGCCTCGGTGGTAGCTGCTTCTTCAGAACTTCAGGGTCGTTGAGATCGTACTCCCGCCTGTCTTCGAAACGCTGATATTTTTGGCGGTACGAGTCTATTTCAACGCCAATACGACGACGTTCCTTGGTAAAATAAAAAAAAAGCAGTTTAAGAGTTGTATTTTTAAAGTAACATCACAAACAAGACGGTTTTGGGGTAAAAGAAACAAAAAGTACATCTTACGAACTAGATCCCGAGCGTACGGCGCGTCGCGTTCCACGCGCGGCGCAAAGAGCCATCAGACCACCACAGATGGCGCCCAACAGGGCTGATGCCGACTCGGAGTCGCGGAGAACCTAACGGGTTACCGGGGCTCCGGCTTGAAGCGCAGGAGAAGGAACGGGGTGGTTTTTAGTCAGTAAGAGTCTGACACTCCCTTCCGCCTCACCAAGGCGGGATGTGATTGCGATGGCGATCGATGGCGAGTGTGATTCGATGATTTTCACTCCTTAAAAAAAACGCAATAGAACTACCTTTGGTGATTTTTTGCAAATTGTTGATGTATTGCGCTTTTGACTCTTCCGTCGAATTTCATTAAAAATTCTGTTCTAGATGTAGACTATCACGTTTCTTACCTTTTCTTTTAAGTACTTACTTCTTTCTCCCTTGCTTCAAGTATAACAGCCAGGTTGCTGTCCTTGATCATCTGTTTCGCAAAGGCCAGGTCCTTTCGTACTTGGTCATCTCGTTCCGCCTTCTTCTCCGCTATCTGGCGCTCCAGGAACCTCACATCCACCTGCAATCAGGCTCTGAGCATACTATGTAGCTCGCGATATTAAGGGTAAAGAAAATGATCTTGAGGATGCATATGCGTGTTTATTTTTTATAAGGTTGTGGCGGTGACTGGACTTGTGGTTGCTGTGCAACTTGATGCGGGTTCCATTTCGACATAAGAACAAATTGTACAAGAAACGACAGTCTGTTATGCGATTGGTAAGTTTGTTGATGCAGAATATCTTGAGGCTAAAATTTCATCTGGGTCATGATCGACGACGCAAACAAGGCTTAAACTTCTTTGCCTGACCCACACACCAAGAGGAGTAATGGTCAATTACATATAGACAAATGGTACATAATTATTCTCTTACCCCAATCTTCCTGTTTCTAGCATTGAAGATCCTGGACCTTCTCTCGAGCTCGCATTGTCTCCTTCTCTCTCTATTCTGAGCCTCTTTACGGTCCTGGTCGTTGGCTATCTGTAATTTCATCATTTTTACGTCTAAATTAGTGAAAAACTTGGTCAGAAAATAATTCGGTACAAAATTCCGCGTTCGCGAATTAACAAAGTGCGTTACTATGGTAACTGATTGTTTTTTTCTGGTTGGATACGGCATTGATTTTTGGAAGAGGTTGTGTGTTATTTTTCACCTATTTGTTTAGCCAGTTGTTTGGTTAACCAGTAACCTACAGTTAATTCGTAGCTACCGAGTCGTAGCTCGTAGCATTCGATTTTCCCCCCTTAAAAAAAAGCTCGTAGCATTCGTAGCATTAATTCGTAGAACTCTTTTGTTTTTCTTATGCAAAATGTATTTGATTAATCTGTTGTCATTTATAATATTCATCTATGATTACGAAACGAGTAGGAGGGGTGGTTTTTACCTAGTTAGTAACTGTCTGACATTCCTTCTCGCTTCACCCAAGGTGGCCTCACCTAGGAAGTCATTGGATGAATTTTCCCTCCTTATAAACGTGTGTATTAAAATTTGTGTGCATTTATACGTAACATAACGCCATTTTTCCTTAAAAGTGTAGACAGAGGTCTGTACTGTAAACAACATGTAAACTTTTTGTAAGTTAAACCATACTATATATGATTAGACTTATTTTTCATGTTCTATGGTATTAGGTAAGCCTAACTATTCACGGTCGTAACAAGTCTATTAGGTGGCAGGATACTAGGTGCAGAATATATGAAGTCATAGATTCTAGGAAGATTGTATGAAATGTATTAGACAACTTAAAAACAAAATACTTCAGGCCTTTATCAAAGTGATTAGGTAAGTTAATGTTACATCTTCGAAGATTCGACTGTGAACATATAGGTACCTAGGAGCCTACTTCATTTATTACATGCCTAGTGAAGTAGGTACATAATATATTTAAATGTAAACCTAGACGTACATAAATGTCGAATCACGTTTATGATTTTGCTAAAGGAAATCTTGAGGACGTCAAGTTGTGACTCAGCTGTTCCATTATATCGATTCTTTTACTGAAAATAAGAAACACTCCTCTAAATGGTAATAGCAAAAATTATACCTTTTTGTTATACAAAAATTACTATTTTCAATTACGTATCGTAGTAGAAAATACATTTTTTGTGCTAGCAACACGGACTGCGGAGAACATGAGGTGTGCGTCGCAATTGTCAGGCCACTCGCCGCCGAGTAGCGTAGATTAGAATTCACCCACAGTGCGCGCCACACCGTCATCCGACGAGGTTGTTACGCGTTCGCGGTCAAAACGCCGTATTACATGTGCGTACTATTACGTATTTACAAACGTATATTTTTAGTGTTACAAATAAAAAATAAATAAAAGTGCTGTGCTTTTGAATTACATTTTTTACTGTGTTATGTGTTGTAATTATGACAAGTGTTTTGAAGAAATCTAGAGGCACTAAAGGAAAATCTGAATCCATGCAAGAGGATCTGCCTTCAAGATGGGGGGAGGTCTCCCGCGAAAATCAGTCTGAGGATGCCGCGAAACTGATAAAATGTATCGATGAGAACATTATCGGGAAAGGAAACTCTTTCTGTGGACCCTTTGGGAGGAGAAAAGGTAGGAGTTCTTTCATATCATTTCAAATTGAGACGTTAAATTCAAAAATTGACTATAAAGACGTTTTCTTAATACAAACATCTTTTTAAATCTGTTCCTAAAGACAAAATGTTGCCATTGAATAATTCAACGACTAAATATACTAAAATGGTGCGCAAATAAAATTTGAAAATGTGAATGTCGCATGATTTTAATGCATTGTAAACAAATCACATTGAATAGAATATTCAAATAAATTAGCATTAGTTATTTCGAGACGTGGAAACGATGCCAATATGCCATGTTCGTTACTATACAAGGCCTAATAATAGAAAAAACATATGTTCTGTTTGTATTAGCCGGCACCTCGTGAACTAGTGTAGCGCGATCAAGGTTAAATCCATTATATCACTATTTTAATATGAATCTTTTAAGATAAACCTGCTCATAAGATTAGATTAAGTTCCCCAAGCATATCGATTTGGCGAATATTCGTATTTATAAATACAGGTACCTAGTTTCGTATAAATACGTCTATTGTTTTGTAGACATTTAATTTAGAGTAGTTTCAAATTGGAGGAAATATTTATAAACAACGAATAATTGTAATAGCCATGTTAATTGCGTGTATAATCACTGTAACGAATCGATTATCTCATTTTATTCCACTCCGTGATTAACATTCTTTCTCCTTACGAATTACATAACACATAAACATAACATGATCTTAAGAGATGATATGAGTAAATTATGGTGGCATACGGACCACCTAGTTTATAGGTATTGGGTAATGAAATTAGATGTAGCATTATCGAATCCGAGACTTTGCTTGACTGTCGCGGTTTTTCTCACTCAATCAACGATGAGCTTGTTAGTGTTTCAGTACAATTTGTTCTATTACAATGAACAGAGATTCTGGAAGTCATTCAGACTTCTTGTGGCTGATTTGATGTTAATGAACAGAGATGTCCTATATGCTTTTAGCTGCTTTTTGTTGATACTATGTTTATGACCGTCCTAGTAATCCCTTCTTCTTAAATAGGTACTTTCTTCGAGGTAGTAGGCCCAATTAAATACCCTTCCCCAATCGCTGAATCCCCAACAATCCTCAAATTCCTATCAGATGATCCGTCTGCTCATTGACCGACTTATACCATAAAAGAAAAAAAAGTACATAGTCTCAGACCAAATAACGTTACACAAATGATTTGCCTCTGTAATTTAACACAAAATGAAGGAGCTATTTTATTTACAATTTATACCTATAAAAACGTGTCCTCCTGTCTACGGCCACAGATAATTTATATCCCGTCGTGTTGGGCGCCAAAATGTTATTCTCTGTTGTTCAACATTTGGCACGATCAATTATGGGCACTCAATACTTGTCTATTATTTTGACGACTGCCATTATGAAAAGTGTGATGAAAACAGGGCGATCGATGAAATATTGAGAAGAGAAGTAATTGGTGTGAGAAAGGTCCTTGAGAAATTAATTTGTCGAAATTGGATGTTTGATATTGGATTAAACTGCCAATCACTGCGAGGACACCGGTGACCGCAACCTATCGTTCTTTAATTGTGTCTATAATGACGGTACTCAACGAGTTAGTCATATCGCTTTTTAAAGATTTGATCTGATTTGAGTTAACAACATGCCTCTTTCATTTTTAAAGGATTAGATAAAAAATAACGATTTTTTTAATGAAACACCCACTGTTTAGAAGTTTGCCAATAATGTGTAATAAAGATCCGCCAATTAGCAGATCCTGTTCCTGCAGATCTATTTAGAAAAAAAAACTCGATGGTTTTGAAAACGTGATTTAATTTTCATTATTGAATTGATAATCAGCGTATGTACCTACTTAACTTACTTTACATAAGTAGGTACCTATTTATTGGAATTGGTGAAACTGTAGGTCCCTGCATACAAAAAGTAGTCCACTTTTTTAAATATCATATAATTAAGTACAAAAATTACTCCGATTTTTCCATCGATCTTTCTTGACAGTTTTTTGTATTACGATCCCGTTATTAGTGGAACTTTTTTCCTCGTACGATGCTAAGGGAACTTCCCAGTGAAAGGAATCCAAAACTGGTTATGAAGGTCATTTGTCGAGACGGGATCAAAAACCTGGACCTTTTATGATGGCAGTATAACTTTGGAGATGTTTTATGACGCGCTCATAACATTTAGATAGGCACGCTTAACTTTGTATTATAGTCGTATAAGTCCTAGTTATCAGTTGAATGCCTATGTAGGTATATGTAGCAAGAAATATATGTCTTAAGGTCAATAATGATAACGAGTGTGCGTACGGGCCAGATGAAAGACATTGTGTCTGGTGTAGGCAAGGGTTTTATTAATTGTTTAAAAATGTGTAAGTTTTTAGTTTCAAACTTCTTTATTAATGGTGTATTTTATCCTCTTAAATTCTAAATATACGACCTGACGAAAGTCGCAGTAACTGGATCCAAGTTACTTCCATCCAACCGGCCAATCTTGAAATTATTGGGCTAGGCATATAGTCAGATTATTATTATTCTCCATTGGATCACAACGATGGCCTATATGATGATGATGGACAACGATGATTTGTTTTTATAATAACTATCGTGAGACATAATAAATTAACTGAAATCTGAGTGAGCTGCGCGACGTCGCCGCGACCGCGCACGCTGTTCATGAGGAATAACCCCTTTTTGTTTCGAAACTAGTAGAGCTTTTCTCAATATATTCACGTGAGTAACCCGCGATTTTAGTTAACAATGATTTGGTTGATAAAATTTTTCATAGTACTTATTCACGTTTTGTTTCCACACAACAAATGTATCGTACAAAGTCTACTAAATAAGTGTAAATTACTTTTATTGTTGACTAAGTGGATATGATGGTTTCATGTTACAGAATAGATAGAAACAGAAATGCATAATAAACTATAATAATTGAATGCTTTGTTAGTGCGGAAGTGGGTGCACGGTGCACCGATACACTGCGCACGCGCATGCAATAGTGACCACGTTTCTATTCACGTGTTGTCTACGCTAATCATTTGTCATAGTGTCCAGTAGGTACTAGGTTACTCACTATTATTTCTGCTTGCAAGGAAATAATAGTTAATAATACATTTATTATTCGTATTAATACTAATAGGTAGGCTTACTGTTGATGTTTATTAGGTGTGGTATTAGTTTAAACTTGTAATTCATTTTTTTGCACACTTTTATATTAATCCTATTTTTCTTCGCATGTCAGTCATGCTTAAGTATAGTTCTATCTCTACAAATTCTTTGTAAAATGACAGAGATGGCACGATATTTGAGCACGACTTAAAATTGAGTAACATTTCAGTATTCCGGCAATAGTTGTTTTAACTAACATTTAGTACATTGAAGTACCATACAGGTACCATACAGGTACAAATTAATCACAGCTTGAATGACAATGACTCAATCATCCCTGACCATAAATCACCGCTCGTCTTTTGTTATAAGGACAAAACACATACTGAATGCG